AGCAACTGCAGAGTACAAACGGATGTCAGAGGGGATGAGCAGAGCAAGCACACACTTCCTAGGCCAGGGTGTATGTTACTGGGTGTCTGCAGGAGCGATGCTGATATAACACACCCACACTCCAGCCAAGCTCCCATTCAGAAATCTGCTCAATAACGGCACCGTTCGCTTCCACAGAGCCCTTGACAAACAGGGATTTATCGGCCTCCTGACAAAGAGCTTCACAAATGAGGCAATCAGCAGACCAGTATAATTTCAAGAAATACAAATGAGCAAATATCTAGTTGCCATGGTAACCCCAAGAGCCGGACTACACTTTTTTTTTTTTTTTTTTTTGCAGATTCCCAAATACATCTACATTTTGCCAGCACAGCAGGAGCTCCGTGCCCAGGACCTCGCTTGGGGACAGCAGCCAGGCATTGCTGAGCAGCATCAGCTCTTTCAGCATCAGCCCAGAACAGCCCCATCTTCCCTGGCTGACTCTGAGGGTTCACATGCCCGGTGCCAGCTGCGGTTCCTTTTTCTCTCACGTCACCTGTGTCCTTCAAGGCTGACCGGCTTTCCAAGCAGGGACCACAGCAGGAACTGCACTCCTGTCAGATCTGCACTTTGCCTCTGATCAGTGGCAGCTCTGGCAATTTGCACCCAGGAATGAAAGTTTCCAGCCAAATCACTGAGCCCCGGCAAAGCGAAAGTGGTTAATAAAAACCATAACCACCCTTTTTTTAGGCAGCTGTGCTGCGGAGCCCCGTGCCAAAGGGGGAGAGGGATATTGGCCCACAGCCAGCGCTCCCTACCAAGGCAGTGTTCTCAGGAAGCCTGTAAATCCTTGGCCACAAAAGGGGGGGAGACTTCTGGGGTACCAATAAAGAGCAATCAACAGCAAGATGGGCCCTGCCATGAGACAGCTCCTGTGCTGAGCCAGCCCTGTCCCAGGGTCCCCCAGGCTGGAGGAGCCCCTGGCAGCAATGAGCCTCTCTGGTGCTGCTGGAAGTCTCACTGAGCTTTTGCAATTAGTTAAGGTGCCATCACACACCAGCAGCTTCCACGGTGCATAAATCCAGCTTGACTCATGCCTCTTGATGGCTGCCTCAGACGAGCCCTTTGGCTGCCCAGAAAGAGATCCATTTCCCAGCAGGTTTGTCCCTGCTGGCTCCCACTGTCCCACTCATTCCCTGGCAGCAGCAGGGAGCAGCTGGTGCGAGGTGGGATGGGAAAGCCCTTCTGCAGAACAGCAGGAATATCTCAGTTAAGCCAACATCCACTGGGACCTACACAGCCAGATCCTGCTTGTCTTCCCCGTGCCCCACCGCTCTGTCTCTCCCAGCCGTGCACATTTGGGATGCGCTAAAGCTGGGGGGTTTAACACACAGATGGGCAACATAATTTACCACAGGGGTTTGTTTTTGTGATGGGCCTCGCTGCCACAAACAGTAAATGTCTGTAATGTGCTGTCTGAGCTGCTGGAAGCCTGGTTTTTTGGTCCTGAGATATTTTTGTTCTCTGTCAAAGGGAACCACTTTGCACCATCCTGGCCGCAGGGCAGGAGCTGAGCCACTACTCAGACAATTAAACCCAAGGGAAATGCACAAGAAAAAGCTCATGAATCAGTTGTGCAGCCCTTATCCTCCCAGTCATTTTCAGGAGAAAAAAATCTTACAAAATTAATAGAGGAAAGGACAGCTCAGCCCAGCTCAGCCCAGCCAGGCGTTGGAGCAGTCAAGATAGTCACTGGGGAGGAAAATCCTCACCAGGCTGTGTCTGGGCAGCACCAGCACTGCTGGTGACATCCAGCTGTGACATCCACCTCCCACATCCCAACATCCAGCAGCATATCTCAGGAAATAAAGAATAATCATAGTAGGAATAAAAGGAATCAAAAGGTCAAAGGTGCAGGTAGGCCCATCTCTCCCCACTGCCGTTCCAGGCCTGACGACAATATTGTCTGTACAGCTCAGAAATGGGGTACATAGGAGGGTAAAGACACTTGTCACAGAGACTATTTTGGTTCACTACCAGGCTACATCACATGCTGTCCATACTTGCCCCAGCTTTCACACACTACAAAAGAAGATGTTCTGCTCCTAAAAAAATCAGTGTCATAAAAGGACCCCCAGAAATCAATCACTTGCAAGTGATGTGCAGGAGAGGTGTGGGAAAGTTCTGCCACTGCCAGGTTCCCACTGCCTGCACCATACAGCAAGTCAGCAGGGAGAAATTCAAGCTAACAAGGGAGTGAGGGGTTATGGGACAAAGAGCATGGAAAAATAAAAACTTCAGCCTGGAGAGCTGGAGTGCCTCTCAACCACCCAAATTCTGGGACCATTCATGTCGAGGGAAAGGGCACATCTCAGCTTCCATCAAGCCCTAACCTAGCCAGATCCACTAGAAGTTAATTAAGGAGGTGAAAACTCCTGTTGTTCTCTGAATCTCATTTGATTACTGTGAAACAGAAGACACTGTCAAGGAGAGATGGTTGATTTTTAAGTAAGGACCCTGGAGCCTGAGGAGAAAGACAGGGGGGTTGCAAAACAAAGCCCCTATTAACTTTGGTGCTGCCTTTCAAGTCACACATGTTCAGTTCTTTTTACCTGGAAATGAAGATGTTAATTGGAGGTGACAGCTTTCAGAGAGCTCCCCATTAGCAATATTTTCAGCCACAGTAGGGCCCAGGTCTTCAAACGCTTTCCCAAGGGAAGGTTTTAACCTTTCTTTTGAAACATCTCATACCACTTGCAGTGAGAAAAGACAGTTGTTTGGCTCGAGGCATACCTATCCCCAGCCGTGGTGAACTCTGAGCTCCTCTGAACAGGGGACACAGGAGGAACAGGGAAAAGAAACTGGGGAGAGGCAGCCTGGAGCCCAGCTTGGCACCATGCAGCAGCTCTTGGTGTGGCTCCCACCCAACCCTCCCCATAGTGATGGGCTCTGGACACACAGCCAGCCCAAAGGGGCTCTGGGGGTCTGCTGTGCCGGCTCCCGATGCTGTCTCCATCACAGAGAGGGGACACCACCTCAGCACCAGCACTGAGAACCAGAAGTTCATCAGACACATCTCCCACCATGCTTAGTTCCTCAAACCCTTTTCTGCCAAAGACAAGGTACTACACATCAGCTTTCTTTAGCTTGTTGGATCCAAAACCATTTTTTTAAAAAAAAAACCCAGCTGGTTTCTTTACATGCTGTTATCATCCATACGTAATTTACTGTTTTCAAATGAAACAAAAGCTTCTAGAAGGCACATCCAGCGTTAAAATCTAAAACTGAAAGCTACACAAATAGCTTACTTTCCGTATAAATATATGGATAATCTGTGTATATACTATAAATAAAATCTAATAAAAGTAATAAAGTTTTATTTATATGTATTATCCATTTGTATATTTATTTATATAAAAATTTTAATATATTTCTAAAAATACATAATCAGGGATGACAGCGCTTCATTATTTTAGAAACTTGCTCCAGCACACATATTCCACATACAATACCACCACTGTCCCCACCAAGTTTTCCAGTTTCTCTCCAAGGGGAAACGTATTTCAGCCAAAAGCTGAGCTGCCATCTGAGGAAGTTCCAAGCTCCCACCAGAGCCCCAGCTACTTACCTCATTGTGTCCAGTGTGATCACTCTGCAAAGTCTTAGCTCTGAAATGTTGTATTTCTAAGATGGTGACATCAAGGGGGACCAGACAATTTTATGGGCATGCTGTTACCCATCTTTGCAGGCAGTAGCTGAGACAGGGCAGTCCAGGGCTGTTCCAGCTGCTTTGGTGCTCTGAGACCCTGGGGCTTTGCCACAACAGGGACAAAATGGACACATGGCTCCCAGGGGAGGGCAAGGGGCCTCTCTGCAGCCCCCTCTGCATGGGGCTACTTGCAAAGAGACCTGGATTCTGTGGGGGATCAGAGTTCACACCCCAAAGCTCCCTGGGGAGCACTGAATTTATGGCATTTGACTGGCTCCAGTAGTGCCCTTGGAGCTGTGTCCCCTGAAGGAGAAGCATGTTTTTGCCTCCATAGCACTGCCTTTCCCTTGGACCCTGGTGTCAGTTTGGCCCCACTTGCATCCAGGCCCTGCAAATTCACCCGCTTACAAGGAGGAGGGTCCCACCTCCCCACTGAGCAGCTCAAGCAGGGCACACTGCAGCTGCCACAGCCACACACACCTCCCCAGAAATGACCTGGAAGACAAATACCTCTGTGGTGCTACTGCAGCACCGAAGGACACCAGTAAGGACTGAGGGAAGGAGCATCATTTCCTGAGAATTAGTGTTGTACCAAAAGCTGCAAGCTCTCCTCACCCAGGACAGGGTTGTGAGGATGGGCTGACTCCAGCTGGTGTGCGTCAGCCCCTCACCTGCCCTCCAGCTGGTCCAGTCAGCCCTAAGTAGCCAGGGCCAAACCCTGCTCACCTGCTGCAGGCAGGGATGCTGCAGAGGTGTGGGGCACTGACTGGCCCCACACCCCCTGCACAGTGACACTCTGCTGGGGGCCAGGCAAAGGGCAGGGTGGGCACACAGGCTGCCCCAGGGACCCCCAAAACCAGTCAGGGTCAATAAAATAAACTTTTCCATGCACCCACTTCCTCCCCACACACATCTCTGTAATACAGAGCAAACTGGGGAAAAAACACTTTCTTTAACACAAAACCCCATGACCCCAGGGAGCCACTACTACTCGAGTCCCAGAAAGACAGAGGAGCCTCCACCTTGCTGTTTGCTGTTTATTTTAGCCGAGAGAAAAAGAACGTGGACAAGAGACATTTTGCATAACTTAAGAGAAAATAACACTTTTCTTTCACAGATCAACAGGCAAAAACACTTCCTACACATGGCTATTTTTTTGGTGCTAACAGTTTGATGTATTGGTAAAATCATGGGCTTCCTCTAACACGCTCGCTTCACCCCCATGGCACTCCCAGGAGGGATTTTACAGCCAGGAGCTGTCTGGGGATGCCAAGCAGTTCCATGGCTCTCACAGCCCATGCCATGTCCTGACTGCTCTTCCCCAGCATGGCTGGAGAGGTGACCCAAAATGAAGGGGAGCACGGGCAGGCACCAGCAGCTTCAGTCCAGGGCCAGCGAGGGGATCTTGCAGACGAAGGGGAAGGCTCTGCCACAGGCATTGTCGTTCCAGGAGCGCAGCGCTACCCCCCAAAAAACACAAGGCATTAGCTGAAAAAAGGCACAAGGAAGTAACTACGCCCCATCCTTGGGACTAGGACCTCCTGCCATTATGGGAGGCTTTCCCTGGGTGTGCTCCCATTTGCACCACTCCCAGCCATGCCCCCTCCCAGCATTCCCCTCCCCATCTGGAGGGGATCCTGGGCCCCAGCTTGGACATGATAGTGAAAGAGTAGCTGCAAACACAGTCCTGTACGCCCCAAAATATCAGGAGGCTGCCCATGGACAGGGCATTTATGTATGTCTGGGGGTCTGGACAAACCTGGCTGATCTCACTGGCCCTGAAGACATGAAGTGGGATTTTTGCAGAGGCAGGGTCTTGTCCCACTTCAGCAAGATGCCCTGGCCTGAGCGTGGGAGAGAAAAGCTGGCAAATCAATGGGTGTTTCCATGAGCCTCCCATGTGGGAAGGGAAATGGGAAAATTTGACCTTTGGCTAAATTTGGTAATTCTTCAAGACAGCTGATATTCCTGTCCTGCTGCTGCTATGGGAGAGGGAGATGGGCTGTGAGCAGTGGGAAAACAAGTCTGTGTCTGTGTATGTGTGTGTGTGTGTGTATGTAAATGGTGAAAAGGGAAGACACACCCCTTCTCTGTAAAGAAGAAAGAAAATAAGACTTAAAAACTAAAATGCAAATCCTCTGCCTGCCTCCAAACTCTTCAGAAAAGCAGGAGCTGTGGTGAATTGAATTTATTGACATGCAAATAACACTGAAGGTGCCCTCGGTACCCGGTGCAGCACTCACCGCTGCTGTGTCTGTACCAGATCTGCACACAGTCCTCCTCCTCCGGGATGGAGTGGATCCCATCGTCAGGCTGACTGCCATCCCAGTAGTGGTAGTCGTAGGAGGAGCCATCTGTCCACTCGAAGTGACCCTCCTGGCACAGGATGGGTGGAGAAAGGCCATCACCTCAGACCCGCGACTGCAGAGGGTGGGGGGCCCATTCCCATGCAGAACCCATCCCCATCCCCATTCCCGTCCATCCCCATCCCCTTCCCCAGTGCCACACAGCCCGAGGACGTGGGGAGAGACTGTCACCACTCAGCAAAGGCCAAACATCTCGTTTGGGTTTTACAACTGAAAACTTTCAAGGACAGCCCGAGAATTCACAGTGTTCTCACCAGGGGAAGCCCAGAAATTAAATCCATATATTTTTTTTAACATCCCCACCCAATTCTGTGTTTCTTTTCCTCTTTCTTTCCTTTCTCAGTATCTACCAAAAATTTGCTGACATGGGACTGTTCTCCTGATGGTCTCGATTTTTCTTTTTAACAACATATTAGACTATATATTTCTAACGTGTCAGCTTTGAAAAGTCACAGAGTACCACAAGAGAGCAATGGAACTTGGTGATTTTTGACACTGGAGGCCTTTTCAGTTTACTTGCTCTTCTTGAACCAGCAGTACAATACTCTTTCTATTAATACAGTAATAAAATATGAATAATTATTAATTATTTATATTCACTATGTGACTATAAATAAGTGCTATTACAGTAGCACTTGTAAAAGCAGACTGGAAAGGAAGAAATGACAACTTTTTCCATGCACTGCACAACAGATCCTATGCCGCCACTCGGTTAATGGAGCTATAAGGGCCAAAGGAGAAAACCAAGTGCCTTTGTGGAAGGAAAACGCAGAGAGGTGGATTTTTCAAAGCCATTTCCCACAAGACTTCAGAGAGCTCTCACCTCGCGCAGGTCGTTGAGTCCCATCCAGATGTCGGTGGGGATGCCGGGCACGCGGCTGTTCACCAGGTCGTACACAAACACGTTTTCTTCCCAGCTGGCAAAACAGAGCAACACGGAGCCGCCAAGGGAGTATGTCAGCAAATGGTCAGGAGTGTCCCTAAGCATTCACCCACCACTGGACCCATAGCCAAATGGCTCCCCCCCTAATTGCTGTTGATTACTTTCCTGGCTCTGTGCAAGAGGAGCATAGTGTTGGTGAGAGCTCGGGGAGAGGGAACGGGGGAAAAAGCCTGTGTAATCATGATGTACTTCCATCCCTCTTTCAAGAGTGAAAAACACAGTTTGGGGAAATTTAGGGAATACTATGCCAGTTTTCCTGCCAGTCGAGGAAAAGACATTTTCTATATTACCCTTGTGTGCCCAGTGCATCAGACTTGACCGGGTCACTGCTGCAGAAGGATGCTTAGGCTGGAACACGAGGCCACAGCTGACAGAGAGATTGTGCTGTGGGAATGGGACTTTGTCCCCATTTTCCTTCCTCCCCATGCTGTGATGACATGTTTCTGCACTCCTCACCTGTGGATGGAGGCCAGCTTGGCTGATCTGATGCCAATGGAGAACTCAGCGCAATAGAGGTCGGCTTCAGCCCAGGTTTTGTTGATGGGGAAGTACCGGTAGCAGTGACCTTCGTACTCTGTCCAGAAGAGCGGGCAGGAGTAGGCGTGGACAGGCTCGGGCATGGCTGGGGGCAGAACAGAAGACAGCTGGCAGCATTGCTGGGCAGCTGAGCAGGCAGTGGAGGCAGCAGTGCCCAGCCCTGCTCCTCCACCTCACCCAGGCAAGTAATCACCAAACACGTGCACGGAAAACCCAACTTCTGTGGGCGCTGCACAAAAGTTTTCAAAAGTGAAAACACATTTTGCACAAGTTGGGAGTTTCTCAGTTTTAGCATCTGCCCAAAGCAGGAGGTATGTTCCAAGCCATCTTGACATCATTTTCAGAAGAGGGTGCTTAAAATAAAGGCACTGACATTTGCTATTGGGGAAACCAAGATAAGGGCTCCTCTCGCCTCTATCAGGCACCACTAGAGCCACAGTGCTGGGATGGGAGCTGATAGCCAGGGCTGCGGGGTTATGGCCGTGTTCTGCCCTCCTGCAAGGACAGCCTGCACCTCCTCCCTCCAAGGAAACCCCCTCACCATCCCTGTCCCTGGATGCAGCCATGCACGTAGGCACGCGTTGGATTTCAGCCCCAGAAATAGCCGGGCGAGGCGCGCGTGCCGCCGGGAGCGGTGCCAGCCTATCTGCCTCCCTCCGCCAGATAAGAGCTGGGGCCACGGAGCTGCTCATCATCCCTTGTCACTTTTCAGCACAGTGGGGAAGCTGCCCCAAAAGAGGCCATTGTGGGGGCAGGATGTCTTTCTGGAGCCTTCACAGTTGCCGCTGTGTAAACACGGCAGTGGCGTTAACATGCTCTGCTCTCCTCTGTGCCACGCTCCCTGTCACCCCCCAGCACGAACACACGTGGAACCCCCAAATCTTGGGGCACAGAGGCTTAACTCCCTTAGCTGCTGTTTTTTGCACCTTGGGGAATTGCCAGCTCCCCTCTAGCCAGTTCCCACATCCCCATGGAGTCCTGGTCCGGGGTCAGAGCTGCTGCTGGAGCGAGCAGGGCAGTGGGCAGGGTGGGTGTGCAGGGGTTGAGGGCAGACATCAGATGCCATCAAACTATCCAAGCAGGTAACAGGCTCAAGCCTGGAAAGGTCAGGGTGGTGCTACAGGGCCTCCAGTACTGAGGGGCTGTGGGGAATGGCTTTCCCCAAGGGTGGGGAGAACAAAACCCTGCCAGCGGCAATGAGGGATGTGGCCACAGCAAGGGAAGCAACAGCACCGGGAAAAGGAGAGGCAAGGTGAATCCAAAGCAGCTGTGTGAGTGTTCACGGAGCCAAATTCTTCCCTGTGCCAATGCTGGCAGCTCTGGGTGATAATTTCATATTTCATCAGCTCTTTCCACACGGGGATCTCTGAGTGTTCTACAAACAGCCACCAGCCAGCCCCCGGGTCTCTGCTGTCACAGCCCATGCCCAGGTGACAAAGCACAAATGCAGTGAGCCTTTTTTTCCTCCTGAACAAGGCCAAGTCAACTGCCAGGCCCTGTGGGGCTGTCACCCTATCAATCTGCCTCGGGTCCTCCAGCCATCCCTCTGGAGGAGCTGAGGCTGGGGGCAGCTCTGCACCTCACAGCAACAAACCCTCAAGGGGCTCAAAAGGCTCTCTCATCCTCATCAGCACTAATTATGGGCTATGGAGGAAAAAGGATAAGGCATGCCTGGAAGAGCAGCATAGCTTTAGGGGAGGGTGGCCAAATTTCAGCCAGCTCAGTGGCTATGCAGGGTTCAGCTCTTTGGTTCACACCTGGCCATACTTGCATAGAGAAAAATCTTAAAACAGCCCTAGGAAATGCAAATTATTTTACTGTAGCAATAGAGCAGGACCAGAGAGCTGATGTGATTCCCCAGGAGTCAAGCACTCCTTCCCTCATGATGCTGGCCAAGGTTTCCAACCTCCACCAAACACAAAGCAGAGCAGGGGCAGAGGGTCAAACCTACAGGATGAGGCTTCAGCTTAACCACCAGGTCACGGGTGAGGCATGTACCCCCATTCAGGGCAGGGCTGGGGTCTGGTCCTGGCTCACAGAGACTCCAGGTTGCTGTTCCTTCTTGCCGAGGGCAGCGAGAGGTCTGCGCCAGACAGGCACCACCAGCAACTGGGATTTTATTGTAGCGCCTTGATGAACTCGTCACCTCTAGCAGCGTGGTGGCAAAATTCACAGGGCTTATCGCAGCAGCATCCCCAGCAAACGGAGCCTTCACTGCTGAGTGCTAATTGCAGCGGGCGTCCCAGTGTCCTGGCTCAAAGACGGGTCCATCAGCACCTCAACTGCCAGGGAAAATCACCCTCCTGTTTGTTCAGAGCAGCTGAAACCGAGTCAGAAACTGAGACAGTCTTTCTTTGTTATTCCATACTGCTTCCCATTAGGTAGCATTAATTTGACGAGCTTCAGTGAACCAGAGGTGCCTGAAGGAATTTAAGGTTAAATATACCAAAAAGGAAAATATGGGAGGTCAGCTTTTAATTAGCATCTCTTCTGTTAGGTCAGGATCAGAGGCTTTGGCTGTCTCTTTGGAGGAGAACTACTGCTCCCAGTTTTACAGGCAGGAACAATTAGGGGAGCTGCTTTATTTGGGGTCTTTGAGGGCTATTTTTAGCAGAAAGGCCATAAGAAATCTGATGTATGGTTGTGAGTATAGGAGCCTACTCATGACTCTGTAGGAAAGAGTTAAAACACAAGCCAGCAGCTGTGGGTGCTATTTTGATCTAGAAGAGGACAAGGATAGCATTTTGGGGATATGTGGACCAAATCCTCTCTTTTAAGCACAGCAGCAAAACATCATCCCAAAACATCATCAGCTCCTCTGCACAGGGCAGGAGCAGCACAGCCAGTGCTGCCTGCTGGACAGGGGTTTCTGTCGACCCCAGGTCAGTTCATCCATTTGTCTCCAAATTCCTGGTGAAAAATGATGGCAAGAATCCTTTCTCCCTTTGCTTATTTACAGTGCAACAGTTTTAAGGGCAGGACCATGTTTTAAGGCAGCACCAGCAAAATAGATGGTTGAGGATAAGATCAGGCAGCTGTTAAAAACTCAGAAAAGCTGGAAAGCGAGTATTTTTGGGTCAGAAAAATCTCTGGATTTGTGTCAGTGCCAACAAAACTGGAGCCTTTTTATTTATTTATTAGCTGAGATTCACTGTAGAACCACCAGGAAAATCACTTATCAAAATCTTGCAGAAGCTGGCACTGCTCTGCCAAGAAGTTTCACTTCCCCAACTGGCCTCTTTCCAACTAGAAATAATTAACTGAGAAAGTCCTAGCCAGTTTCACAAGAGTTTTTTTCATTCCAGGATGCTACTGAAAAAAACCAAAAAAAACCCCAAAACCAAAAAACCCCTAACCAGCTGTGTGGCTGCTGAAGAGCAGGTTAGCTCCTGATCAGCTTCATCCCAAGGAACAATGCTGCCTCACCTCCAAGGATCCACAGATTTGAGATATGAAGTTTGGGGCCAGGAGAAGGTTGGCAAGAAATGCCCATGCAAGGAAGATTCCTGAGGGGCTGTGGCTACATCAAAGGGTTTTGGACAGCAGATTGGGTCAGGTCACTGCTGGCAGCAGATGCTCTTTTTGCTGCAGAGCATCAAAGAGCTCCATTCTATCAACAGCTGACAACTCATCAAAAAGTTTAGGGGCGTTAGGAGACACCTCACTGACAGGCATGTTCTTGAGACATCCCCCCTTGGCACATCCACAGGCTAATGCTACCATCTGACCTGAAAAAGCAAGTGAACCTCTTCAGCTCTTGGCAAGCAGCTGGTTTGGAAGATGTCCATCAACACCCAAGAGGCTTGTCTGGAGCTAATGCCAAAGGAGAAGAGCCGAGGAGATCCCTGTCAGGTGGTAGGCTGGGTCCTTCCCAGGGCAGAGCTGCTCACAGAGCAATATCCAAAGGCTGGGATGCTGAGAATGAGGGATGGGGAGTGGCCCCAGCTGGCAGAGCTGGGGCTCAGGATGAGTATCCTGGTACTTGCCAGCTGAGCCACCTCTTATCAGCTCAGGCCATGGGGAGGGCCAGCAGCATGGTTTTACCCTGGCTTGGCACTGCTGGAGCAGTGGACAGTTATAGGGGATGGGTGAGACAACAGGGCTGGGACAGGGGACCCCCAGGACCCTTCCAGGATGGCTTCAGCAGAACCTGTCTGTGGCTGGGCTGGGGAGTTCAAAGTGCCAGCTGAGCCAGACCTCCATCCCACCACAGTCTTGACACATCCACCACATCCTCATTACTGAGTAGACCAAAAGAATAGGCATTAAAAAGGGAAGGTTGTGAGTCAGAGCCCGTGTCAGGGGCTAAGACAGTGCTGTTGTGTGATGTTGGGATGCCTCAGGGCACTCATGGATTTAGAAGCACTGACAAACAATGCCACCTTCATGTTATGTGCAATATTTGTCTTTCATTAACAGATGAAAGAGTCTCACACTGAGTGTCCACCATCGAAGCAGGCAGATCAAGGGAGGGATTTTGGTCTCGTGTGTCTGAGGGTTATATGGAGCTGGAGGGAATAATATCCACTGATGGATGTGAAGCTCATTTAGGCAATATTTGCCACACTCTGAAATGTTTTTAAAGGTGCATATTACAAATCTCCAAGTAAAATATTAAACAGCAGTTGAAGCACATTGGAAGGGACATCCTTGCACACCAAGGGCTTTGCTTTGTAAAATCCTTTAATGAAAGGAAACCAAGCTGGTTTTACAGCTTCAAATCTTCCGCCAGGTATGTCTGGAGTTATAAGGATACAGCCAACACCTGGAGCAGCACTCCTGCAGCTGGCACTGACAGATAGGAGTTATCTTGCAGAGTTTCTTTCCTCCTTAATTAGTTTTGGCAAAGCTCCCACGGATTAGGTGTCTGGCAGGAAAACTGGGCTTGTATCGATCCTTTTTCTCACGATCTCTCTGAACAGGACTTAAGGAGCCCCTTTCTGCTCACATTCCCAATAAACCTAACAGGGCACAAACAAACGGAACAGCAACTCTCACTCATGGCACCAAGCCCATGAAAAAGTTTGGAAGAAACTTAAGTGACATACAGCAGTCACCATCATCAACAGCTCTGAGGAAAAAAAAAAGGGGGGGGAATAAGGGGGAATCCCATATTTGTGGCTACTTATCACACACGGTAAGTGAAAAAATTAACAGGGAGCCCGGTGGCCACAGCCCTGCACCCTTCACACGTGTGCCTCGTGCAGTGATTCCTGCAGTCCCCGCAGGACCCACGGCCCCGAGTCATCCCACGGCTTTGGTGAAGGCGACAGAGCAGCCGCTGACACACAGAAACAAAGCCAGCCCAGAAAGACCTTCGACATCCCGATGAGAGGGACCGGGGCAGCCCTTCTCACGTCCCCATGACAAAGAAGGAAGTTGATTTCAAAGCAAGTCAGGGATTTCTGGAGCAGCCCGAGCAGGGGGGAACCAGGTGCCAGCCCCGCGGGAGTCACACGAGCTCCTTCCCCGCCGCAGCCACCGCCGATTAAATCACCCTCACCCCACGCCGCAGCCACCGCCGGGCACTCACCTTGGCTGATTTTGATGTTGGTCTGGGGGAAGGCGTGTGCGGCCAGCAGGGCGGCGGCCAGCAGGGCGCACAGAGCCCGCCCGCAGCCCATGGCCGGGCCGCCCTGGCACCGCTGCCGGGCGCTGGGGTCGCGCTCGGCCCGAGCCCCGCGGGCTATGGGGGGCGGCCGCCGGCCAGGGCGGATATAGGGGCCGCGCTGCCCCCTCCCCCGAGCAGCGGCTCCTCCGCAGCCCGCCCCCGGCTGAGCCCGGCCCCGCTCAGCGCATCCCACAGGGGACCCGTGCCCGGGCCGCTGCCCCCAGCCCGCCCCCGGCTGAGCCCGCCCGCCCTCAGTGCAGCCCAGACGGGGACTCGGACCCGGACCCGTGCCCAGGGCGCTGCCCGCAGCCCCACTCGGGGGGCACGCTGCTCCCAGAGAGTCATTGACACTCTCCGGGGCTGTAGGCGAGCAAAGACATTATCCCTCCTCGCACCCCCAGCTGCATCCCGGGTTGATATTTAGTGTCCCCATCCCGCGGCGCCGCGCCGGCTGCGACCCCTGGGATGCCGGCGGAGGGGACTCGGGGCAGCCGGTCACCTCGGGGGGTGACAAACGGGACCCTCTGCCTGCGGGCAAGGCCGGCAGAGAGCGGGCAGGGGCGGCGGTGGGAGGGCGAGGGCTGTGCTGGCATCGGGGAACGGCGGCAGCCGGCGGCGAGCACCTGGGGAGGCACGGGGAGAGGGTGCCAGGGCTGCAGGGCAGTGGGGTGTAATACATTAATGCCCCATTTTGTGTTGCTTTTTTCTTGGTTTGGTTTTGTGGTGTTTTTTTGTTGTTATTGTGGCTTGGGTTTTGGGGTTTTTTCCTTTGTTTGATTTGTTTGTTTGTTTTACCCAGAGCAAGGAAACGCTATGACACACTACAAGAGCCTGGAAGAGGGAACTCCCAGCTGTGCCTGGGGCTCCAAGGCTGTTTTAGAAACTCACAGTGTCCATCTGCCATGTCTGTGCTGGGTCCATGCAGTCCTGCAACAGCAGAGAACCTGGTATGATATAGCACTCTGTATCATTAACAGCCAATATTATCCAGCATGTCTCCTTCCCACAGTCAACATTTAGTTGGAGACAAACTTCAGATTTTTAAAAGTATTGTATAAAGTCCTTTCCTAACTGTTGCAGTGGTAAGGGAAACAGCACAGACACAAACACTATAAAATTTGGTGGCCCCATTCCATTTCCAATTTATGCTTAAAGTCAGCATTGAAAGAACTGCTTAGGAACACACATGATGCTGTTCCCTTTTTATTCTTAGCTACCAATTAAAATATTCAGCATTTTTGGGGACTTCAGTTGGGATGACCAATTTTAGAGGCAAGATTCAAATACAAACAATTGGGAGTGATGGAAGGCCTTCAGTACAATAAAGCATCCAGACTTACTCCAGAGACAGTAACTCATTCAATCAATTCTCTATATTAAATTTTCTTTGTATTAAATAAAGCCTTTTAAGAACACCTCCCCCTCACTTGCATACACTGATCTGAAACTATATGGCCCAAGGAAAAACTTATTTCTACAGTAGACCATTAAAAATGAAGAAATTGAGATTATTAGAAGTCAAGGCATGCCCTCTCCCTTCTTTCCTGTGTGCCATCCCCAGATAAAGCCCGTGTTACAAACAACCTCCAGCAAGCTATGGAACAAAAATCTTTTGAGTATTTTAATCTACTTGCAAGACACAGATGTTCAGGGAGGGGAGATCCTGAATAATTTTCATCCTGTTTCTAACAGACCCACGGCAGTAGCATCCCCCCCAGCACAGGCGGGAGCACCGAGCCCCCCATGCTGCCCTGAGCCACGGCTCTGTGCCTGGCACAGCAGCTGGGCACCAGCTTTGCTCCCAGCACTGGGACAGCACAAGCACGTTGAGCACGCAGTGCCAGCTGGAGTTGCAGCTGCACTTTGTGTTACCTTCCAATTTTGCCAAAAATGAGATGTGGTTCACCTGCTGGGCGCAGCCCTGGGAACAGGTCTCAGTGATTCAGCCCTCCCGCTCCTCTCGCTTCCCATCCTGTGTTCTGATTGCCCTGCAAGTCGGGAGCTCCTCAGTGTGTTTCCATCCTGCTTTTATTGACCTTTCCTCTGGGCTCCCTCACCAATTTTTGGCACCTTCTGTACATGACAGCCCCCTCCCTGCGAAACAGATACCTCACAACTCTGAGGACAGATGCGGGCAAGAGTACCTTCTGTTCACATTTCATCCCCAGTGTTGAGCAAACCACATGGCTGGGCTCAGATCAGCTCCCATGGAGCTTGTGCTGCTGCCCACAGGCTCCACATGGAAGAATATTAAAGTCCACAGCAGTAACCGCTGAAACCACAGCCCCTTGTCTGAGCCTTTCTGACTTACAGGAGGAGATCTGCCTCCTACAGCATGTGTTCGCCCAGGACTCCCCATGGGGTCCCTCTCCACTGTGATTTATTGATGAGACAAACCAGGAGGAAACCAGAGAACAGAGATTTGCTGTCGACCTCACTGCAGGACAGAGGAGAAACTTCACCTTGCAGAGGGGCAGGTTAGATCCACAACGTGCTCGGAAAGAGGATGCCCATGGACAGTCCTGTAGCCACCACTGCCCCACTGCTGTGTGCTGCCAAAACAGAGCAGCTCCCCCTTCATCTACAGTGAGGAACAAGGGGGTAACCACCAGCATTTTGGCTTTTCATCTGCCATAAACATAACTGAGGGAGCTCAACAGAAAGGTGAATTCTGCCAACCAGTATCGCCCCAGTCTACGTGGCACAATTAAATAGAATTTTATTTTCAATAAATATACAATCTGCATCATACCAGACAATATGCTGTGAAAAAATAAAATGTACAGAAGCAACCAACAGGACAGCTTGACCGTAACTAAGTTCGCCTGGTGACCTGGAGAACTACCAGGGTTAACACACACAACACAGAAAGAGCCACTGCAGTCTGTGAGAGAATTGAAATTGTGTATTTTGGATCTTAACCGCAAAAGTCCCTGCAGCAGGTTCCTTTTGCACAGCACAAGTTTGAAAAGATGCGAGCTGGTTTTCCCGGTACAAATGGTATTGGAAATGTTTATTTTGCTATATCATCACTGTATCTACTACACACACAGACTGCTATCGAGAGTGGCAGGTCTCACCGCTGATGGGACATCAGATCCATCTGACGTGGGGCCACACAGCCACACGTGTGCCCCGGCACACAAACGCACGTGCACGTACTAACAGGAGCTTAATTCTGTTAAAACTAGTACAAGGACAAAACTGGAGTCAGAATCGATTTCACCACAGGTTCTACTGTTTAAAAAAATACTCTAGCCTAATTACCACGTTCACCAACGAGAGCACATGGGTACTTATATCTCTGAGAGGATGAGCCATGGATTCGGACTGGAAGGACAGCAGAGGCAACTCCCAACTCCTCCACCCACTCTGCGCTTACCACGGCACCTCCACGTGCAGCCCACGCCGCCCGGCCGCGCGCTCCGCCACGCGGGATGCAAACAGCTGAGCGGTGCTGGGGGCAAGCAGCGAGAGGTCCGGCTCCAGGGAACAGCCAGGACCCAGTGGGACACGGTTCACAGAGGCCAGCGCGGCCAGTTGGGTGCCGGTAGCCGCTTCAATCCAACAGAGCTGCTGTGGGGTGTGTGTAGGGTGTGAGGTGGGGTGTTTCTGTCACTGGTTTATGTTTTATCTCGTCCGCCTGCTTGGTCTGGCTGCCGTCAGTCTCCCGCCTCATGTCACCTCCAGGGACGCTGGCGAGACGCGGTCGCACTCCTCCCGGGACCGCAGGCTGTGCCACTGCTCCACCGCCGTCCGGTGTGCATTCAGCATCCGGCGCCAGTGGTTGGACTCGGGGGCACCTGTCGAGTACTGCCCGATCACGATCCTCCCGATGAAGTCATTGCTGCTCTTCACGTTGTGCCCATAGACTGGGGAGAGCAGAAACAGAGACTGGTCAAGACAAAGGCACCGCTCGCCCACCCAGAGCCCTGCCCCAGGAAACCAGATACGCTGCAGATGTCCCCTCACACCGTGTGCCAGATGCCAGCGTTTTTGCTATGTGACTCGGCACCTCAAAAATGTTATGAGACCAAAACAGGGGTTTGGAAGGAATAAAATAAGCTGTACTACAAACTAAAATGCAATTCAAATAAGCAAGACACAGATCCACAGTTATGATGGAATTTAGCAAGAACAGGTGAAGTAGAATCATAAAATGGTTTGGGTTGGAAGGGACCTCAAAGATCATCCAGTTCCAGGTTGCTCAAAGTTTTGTCCTGTCTGGCCTTGAAGCAGAATTACATCACGTACAGAAGTGCCAAAAGCTCTGCCTGAGCATCGTGAAACGACAAAAGCAGCCCAGCAACCTGTGCCTGGGGAAATGTAGAAGCAGCATCTCAAACTCTCCTCCTCCAAACGCACATGGCCCAAACCACTCCAGTGCTAATCGCCAGCCTTCCCGACTGGAAGAGAGGCACTGCACACGTCCAGGCTGTCAGCAGGATGTTTACACGGAAACCATTTGCCATCATTATCACTGCAGCTACTTGTTAGAAGTCCAGGAAAGAAACTGAGGGAGAGACATTCACCCCACACCCCATCCTTTGGATTAGCCCAGTCTCCTGGAACAAAAGATCGCAGACAGCAGCAAACCCTAATGATGGGCCCGATCCTGGGAAAGGCTGAACACTCCCACCAGACAGAAGCAAAAGCACTTTGTGTGCTGCAAACTGAAGCCCTGCCTTTGCTCATTAGAAAGTTGAATAAAAAGTCTTTGCAAGCTGCAGCCAGGATATCCACAGGCACTGGCTGGAATATTAAGGATTAAAAAAATCTCCTCAGGAAAGAGAGGGATTTTTAAGAACAAATGTCTGCAGGAGCTCCAAATCCAGCCAGGTTTGTGCAGCAAGAGCGTGTTCAGCGTGGAGTGGAGCTGTGAGCCCAGCACAGAGCCAAGCGCTGCCATCTCTGCCCCTGCCAGCAGCACCAGCTCCCCAGGGCTGCTGGAAACCAGCACTGGCAGCAAAGCCACAGCTGGGATCCCTCAATGAACACCCTTCCAGGCTGGCA